CTGTCTCTAAGTAAAATACAACTGATAGTTCCACTGTATACCTATTGGGCAATTATGAACATGGTTTATAAAAGAGGTTTTCCTTTTCTTATTGTCTATTCTTAACACTCTTCTCAAAGATTAGTTGACCATATATGTGGATGTATATGTGTCAATTTCTTTTAGCAATGTCATAGTTTCCATTACTATGTATTCTTTTCATATCCTTTTTAGTCCTGACCTCTCCAAGTATTTTGAAAACTTCTTATAGCAGAAGTTTTTTGTACTGATCTTATTATTTAATGAGGACAAAATAAAATAACAGATGGCATAGGATAGATCCAGTCCAACGCTGTCAACACTGTAAAGGCTCTGTGATAGGTAGTTATCTTTCCCTATACAGGGGAAAGCAGGAAGTAGTTCTAGGAATTGCTCTTTGAGCATTTTTGAAAGACAACAAACAAGTATTAATTTTTCCTACATTACAGGCATCATCATTAGATATAAGAATTATAATTCAAAATACTACCTCTATTTCTGTAGAAATGTGGTTTGGTGAAATTATGTCTTCTTCATTTTATTAGTATAACCAGACTGTCTTGATCTATTTTATTCTGGAACACTAAATTGGGTACTTTTTTGAATATTTTTCTCAGGCAATAAGTAAAAAAAAAAAGAAGTAGAACTGGAATAATTAGATGTCTGTGTAGAGGATAACAATTTAGAATCTTGATCATACCACAACCAAAACTAAAAATGAACTTGAGGTAGAGTGCATATCTAAATATGGAACCAAAACAAACAAGTTTCTCAAGGAAATAATAATACATTTTTCCCCTTGGTGTTGGTCAGAAATGAATTGCAAAGCCAACTAAAAAATTAAATGACATAGTATCATAAGAAAAATACATGGCATAGTGCCTGACATACAGCAGGCCCTTACATCGTATGTAAGATAGAAAAGAAACATCTAAATAAATATTCAGTATTCACTGACATAATTTTTATGCAAGTCTTCTGGAAAGAAGGCCATATGACTGGCTGAATAACTGTTTATAATGTAGCTCTATGAATTAGTATTTTAATGGATACATTTCTTAAAATTGTTTTAGATCTATACAGCAGAGAAAAGGGAGGATTCACAAAAATAGAAGGGAGATAAGTGGAGCAGAGGAAGAAGATTGAAAGGGAGGGAGAAGGATTGGGAATAGAGAAGAATGGTAGAATATAACTAATCAAATTATGCTGTCTGATACATAAATACACCACAGTGAATTTTATGTTTATGTATGTCTATAAAGCACTAATTTTAAAAAGTATAAATGAATACAAGGAAGACCTGTAGACTAGAGGAAGGAGAACCATAGGAAAAAGAAGGAGAGGGAAAGAGGAAGCATTGGAGACTGAAGTGCAGGAAATTATATTCCATGCATGTATGAAAATGTAAAAATAAATCCCAATATTATATACAGGTATAATGCACTAATAAAACAATAAAAATGTAAAAAAATACTAGAATTGTTTCATGATATTGCCACCACATAGTTCACTCTTTAGATGTGAAAATATTTATTGAGAAGCCTATCTTGTGTGGCATAGCATATGTCACAGATTTCTGTCTTCAAATAGTTACTGTGTATTTCTGCCATTAAGCTCACGTTTTGAATGAGCCTTGTTTTCTCCTGTTTCTTATACTGAAAGATGGAGGGGAATGAAGGTGTATCTGTCTTGAAAACCATATATACACCCTAAGTCAAGAAAGGCATGATTGCCTATCATCACAGGCCACCCCACTACATCTCACTAACTTGCAAGCATGAAAGGAAAACATAATAAATGTCTCCCGAGCCTCATAAACCTTGCATTGCTTTTGTATTGATCCTACAGTCTGTTCAATCTCAGGCATATTCTAGATCTTACAGTCTTAGTCAGTATTGCCTAAGTTTGTGATTATTAATCATTAATCTGGGTGCTTCTTAGAAATTCAAGTTTCCAGACTCAACAAAGAAAATATTCTCATTTTTTTAGAACAGAGAAGATACCAGACAGCTATATTCTTTACAAATAAGTAATAGTTTGAAAATAGACTCTTTGCTTCAAAATTATTCATGTATAATAATAACCAGAAGAATGCATTTAGGTTAACCCACTATCCAAAGGAACAAAGGACATTTTCATAAAGATAGTTTAATATTTTATTAAGCAAAGTAGGGTGTTAATTACATTAGGTTACATATTATCAAAGATAATATTAACTTGAAAATTAATATTTAAATAGTTGAACATAGAAGATAAAATACTAAAATTCCGGAATCTTAGAATTGGAAAGAATATTGAATGTCCAGTATTCTATGTCCTACGGGAAGATTCACCTGATCTTCTAGGAGCATAAGATCCTAATTGCAAAAATTCAAATTGCTTGTAGAATTCACTGCAAAAATGGGACCACAATAAAATCCATGGGAATATGTAACTCTTCCAAAAATTCAACATTTACCATAATGTACCAAACTAAGTTTGTAGCCACTTTTTCTGTAGAAAAAGAAAGAGAGAGAAAGAGAATAGAGAGGGAAAAAAATAAATAATTAAAAGAACACATTCATCTCCCTGGGAAGTGCACCAAGAGCTCCCTAAGGGGCAAGACTGGAACTCTAGACATGATGAAGAGGCTGTGTTCTGCTTCTACAAGTGGTTGAACCCCACCGGCTCCCAGTCCCTGCATATCTCCAACTGTGAGGATACCTAATATTTTCTACTTCCTCAGTCCTGCCTCAAACTTGGAGTCTGGCCAGACCTGAGAAATCAGAGAATAAGGGATCGTCCTTGAGAAAGACATGGCAATTAGGGCATTATAAGTACAAAGACTTTATGAGGTGAAACACCAGAAGAAAACACTGCAAATGAGGTAGGGAATTCAAGCAAATCGATCACCACATTAAGTCCTTTAGGAGAAGGGGAGAGGGGTGGGATTTTGAGTGGATGTTCCTTATAATATCCTATGGTCTGAGGAAGGCTTGGAAACTCATGTGGAGTTCAAGGGACAAATTTGACCACTGGGGGAGTCCCTTTCTTTCATGAATGGGTCCATTTCACAGATTTCAATGTATAGCAGAGGTATGTTTAGCCTTAGGGCTTTGGAATCATGTCATATTGGCTACTAGTTTGCCACTATTCTAATTAAGTTGTACGTTTTCAGAAAACCCGGCATGGCTATATTCTCAAATACAAAATCACTTTCAGAAATGACAATTTCAAACAAAAATAAGTACAAGTGTTTCTTTGTCTTTTACAGCACATTAGTTTTTTTCTATGTGTTCTGCATATATTACTAATATAATAACTAGTTCTTCATTAATTACAGCATATAATTACCATGATGTTCTTACTTGTAGGCCATGCAGAAAATACATTTGTTGCAATAAGTATGACCATCTGATCCACAGACTGGAATATATTCTTTGGTGCAAACGTTGAAAAGTTGATTATACAAACTACAAACTGTCTATAAAATATACAGAAACAACATAAGCATACCAGAAAAATAGGCCATTGAATAAAATGTTCTTCATTTTTAATATGTATCTCATCCATCCATAAGGGGTAAATATATTCTATACATTAATATAAAGATAAACATTTAACTAACATAGTACAGTAAAAAGTAAGAGAATAATTATCCATTTTCTATTGTGCATAAGCCGTTTACAAAGAAAGAGGCATAAAACTGACTAAACACGATCCTAAAATGTCCATGGACTTTCCCTCCAGATTACATCTCCCTTTCCTCCCCTCCCAGAGGAAATCACACAATTGAATTTTCTGTTTATTAATTCCTGTACAATTTCCCTGCATTTCAATGTATTTATTCAGTACATACACTCATGTTCATACATCTCATTTTAATGAAAGTATTCATTAATACATACTTGTTCAATTTTAGACATTTTGTTAATTTACACAAAGAAAACAATGCCATGTGTGTTCTTATGTATAATTTGCTTTTTATGCATCATATGACCCATGCATAAACTGATATTTATAGCTGTAGTTGATTTATTTTTGCTGTTTGGTAGCAATCCATTATATGAATATACAGAAGCCATTTTTAACAATAACTGGATGGTCCAGCCTTTCATTTGTTTTATTCAAATAAATAATTCTACTCTAAATAGCATTTTCTCTCTCAGAAGCATTTCCACAATAACATCTCACTGCCAATGACTGGAACTTGGTGGGAAGTGTATTCATTTTATCATTCTGTATAGATGTGAGACCATTTGTTATTACAAATGGTCTTATATTGTTGGATGGATTCTGTTTCTTGAATGTGGTGTAATAAAAAATATATTTTTATTTGCAAATATTCATTCTGTGTTCATTCTCTTTGGTAAACTTCATGTTAAAATATTCAATTTACAAAATAATTAAGATTTTACCTTTTTCAACTTTCAAACCAATGAGTAATAACTTACCGGATGCCTGTAAATTACTGATTTTATAAAGAGAGTTTCTGAAAACAAAGCAAAAATGAAAAGTTAAAATATAAACAAAGAACATAGTTTCTGGTGAGAAGTACCCACATCTATTTATAGTAAAAAATTATAAGTAAGATGTGAGAATTTTGTGGCAGTTGTTAAAAATTTACTTCAAATTAAGGCATTTTGGCCATTTTTGTTCCAACTTGTTCCGGTTTTCCTTTTAAAATATTATTTATGCTGTTTATTAATAACCCTCATTATAATGCCTGAATTTTTCAATTTTTGAATAAATTTTTAAATGAGCCATTCTGGTCTTAGGGATGAAAATATCTTGCATATGTTCACTTAAGTAGGAAAAAAATCAATATTCTTTTCTACTTTCAAGATAATATCTACTTTATCACAATTCCTTTATTCTGAAATTCATAGCTGAACTTGAGCTCTTGGGAAGATAAATTGCCCATATATCAATGACCTCCCTTCTTATACCATGCCTTGACTTAGAGGACTCTGAGCTGGTAAACAACAAATTAGATTCACAGGAGTGCTAGACTTACAAGGTATTATTTCTCCTAGAACATTGCATTAACAATAGTGGAATCTGAGCTCCCAAAAGAAAAATAAATTTAAAGTTCTTGAGTTACATAGGTGAGCAAAGACTTTAAAATCTATAAGCCCATTCTAATCACAATTCTTTTCAACTTCTCAAATAAGACAAATTAGAAAAGGCAACCCACTAATTGCATTTTAAAGAGACACTTGTAAAGTGCACTGGTTTGTCTCACCAGTTGAAGGATTATATCCTACAGTAAAACTAACTCATTCAATCTTGATCACAGCAGTTGTTTCTAGAATTTTCTAGGATATTTGAAGTGTTTCTCCCAGGACTGGAAAATTTACTCACCAGAATAAAGAGGAAATGTCAAGACAATGATGAACATGAGTTTGATCCTTGATGAGAAGAGAGTCATTTTATAGGTCTGTGGAGGAACTCTTTGGGGTGTTGTTAACAATGATACCTGACAAATCAAATAAAAAGAAACAGGCCTGATTTCATAATGTTTCTTGTTTTTTTTAAGAAACTGCTATGATGTCCTAGTAGGGAGGAGTATTCCCTTTGAAACCCACCACCCGAACTAGAATTAAACAAGTCATCAGATATCATAGGCTGGATGTAGTGGTGCACTTATGTAATCACAGTGCCTTGCGAGGCTAAAGCAGGAGGATCCCAAGTTCAAGGCCAGTCTCAGCAATTTAGCAAGGCCCTAAGCAGCTTATCAAGATCCTGTCTCAAAATAAAAAATAAAAAGGGCTTGGGATGTTGTTCAGTGGTTAAGCACCCCTTGAGTTCAATCTCCAGTATAAAATAAATAGACAAATAACAAGTTTTCAATGTATTCTTTCCTTAAAAAAAAAAAAAAGTCATCATGGAAAACCTCTAGAGATACAAGAGAAAGCACAAGAAAACAACTACTAACAAAAAGGAAAGAGCTACTCACTACTCATTCTTCCATTTTCTCAACCAGCCTAGAAAGGGACTGGTTGCATTAAAAAAAAAAAAAAGTACATTCAAATTTTGATTATTTTCTTCAAAAAGTAGTAAGAATTATTTCAGGAAGTCCTCACCTGGAGCAGTCCTTACAGCAATGACACACACAAGAGGGCACTCTCCCTAGGTGCACACTTAACCTGCTTAACACAGAGAGAAGATGAGTTAAGGACAATGGCTCTGGAGGTTGTGACTATCTTGTTCACTTTTCCTCCTCAACTAATACCTTATATCTAAGTCTCTTTTATTGACCTGTGAGTGAGGAGCTCCATGGGGGCTAGACAGATAGCCCAGATAAGACACAAAGGTATTCTGTTGTCTTTCCTGGAGGCAGTAAAGTAGGTCAAGAGAGGTGCCTCCCAAATACTTCTCAAAAGATTTTCACTCAGCAGGAGGCATGAGGACAATTTGATCTTGTGAACTCAGAAGTACAAGGAAGAAAGAGAAAATAATGAAAGCAAGATATAGATCCTAAGATAAGAAGGTATGTGAAAGCTTTTCAAGCAATCCACTTGAAAAGGGACAAGAGAATCTCAGGAAAAAGAAGTTTAGGAATGATATTTAGATCTGGGTCTAAGTTTTTTTGTGTGTTTATGAGAACTATATGCATGTTAAAGTCATGGAGAACTTTCTAAGACTTTGGATGCATCAGTTTGCTGTCAAAACAATGGATCAATCTTTAGAAAAAGAGTCCTGAGCATTGGCATGCTACGAGAGCTTCCAGATGAATCTCATGTGCAGCCAACTTTAGGGAAGCATCTTCAGAAAACAGGGTGCAAATGCTTGGAGCAAGAGAGATGAACACTGGGGAATGGAGTGAGACCATATGGGACATTTCCTTAAAATATGACAAAAAAAAATGTGTTCTTTACTTCAGCAGCACTAAGAGAATAATGGAAGATTTTAAAGAAAGGGAGACATTTATTACAAGTTATTCTCTTCTTAGTTAATGTCCCTAGCAGTCTGTCTCAGTGAAAAAAAGCATTGGCAGATGAAAGATCTTGGTACAAATCTCATCCTTTCTTAATTTAGATTCTGTGATTCAATATTTAGCCTCTCTAATTCATAGTTCTTTTGTAAATATGACAATTACAATATCTATCATTTATTATTCATGGGAAATGTTAGGAACGAAATATTTAAATTGAATTTAAAGTTCTGTGATTGTTGGTAAATTGCCACCCTAATCCTACCTGCTGATTTTTGCAACATAGAAGATGAGGGTTTATAAAGAACCTTTAATATCAGTGATGTTTCATGCCAAATTATTGGAAAACCCAGATCTAACACGTGTAGAAAGTACTCCATTATTACAGTGAAGTAAATATTATACACATCCTCGAACTTTCAAGTGTCTACATGGGCATAATGATAGAGGCCCATGCCAACTATTTCTGATGCAGAATATTGGATGGGAAAGGTTTCCTGGAAAGGGAAGTGCATATTAAATAGGGAAAAAATTGTGGACATGATTACAATAGTGCGTAACCACTTTTTGTGGGACAGTCCTGAATAGAGGAGGCTTGTTGTAGTGCCTCCTATTATCTGAGATGTGAGGACTATGTTTAAGAGGAGAGTAAAAGGGCCTATTTACCTCTCTGCTGAAAAAGATATAAAGTGAGGGTCACAGAGTTTAGCTGAGGAGAAAACTTCTGGACTTCAGAAGAAAGCTCCTATTGATGAATGGGATTTATCTCCAAACCAGATAAGACTACACCAGCAAGATCAAAAGTCTAGAAGGAAGCATGCCCATTCTCATATCAAACCTGTACAAATAGACTGATTAATTCACAAAGTCCTACTCCTTTTCTATTCAGATACTCAAGAACCAACGAGCTAACTTGAATAAATCATTTCTTCCAAGTCTCAGAAATCTCACAGTATCTTTGAATCTATTATGCAATGCATTCAGGGCCTCTGAGGAATTTATGATTGGAATAAAGTTTAGATCTGCCAGACATGGTGGTGTGTTGCCTGTTATCCCAGTGACCTGGAAAGTTCAGGCAGGAGGATCTCAGATTCAAATCAGTCTCAGCAACTTAGCAAAACCATGTCTCAAAAATTACAAAAGGCTGAGGATGAAGCTCAGTGCCCCCGTGTTCAATCTAAAAAAAAAGTCAAACTTTCAATTAAAAAGTACTGTATTTCCTCGCCAAATGACAATATTTAGATATTGTTAAACCTACAGTGTTTTACTTTATTATAGCTAAAATATGGAGCTAATATGTATCTAATAAGATCTTCATAGAACTAAGTTACTTTGGCATGTGGGATGTGGGGAGCTGACTCAGCTTGTGTGGGTGTCACACAGAGGTAGAATTTTTATTCATTAATGGATCCTAACTTTCACCAGTACACTGAGCACACCTACAGGTTGGTGATGATATCTGCTTTTATTTATTGAATTTACCCTAACATTATACGTAGGGTCTGATGCATAATAGGAGTTTAGGAAAAAAACCTTGAATAAAAGTAAAATGAACATATGTGTGAATTGCCTAACATTCACTGAAAAATGTATTGATGTATGTCCTATATAATAACAATTATGAAAGCAAATGAATACCTTTTTATTTGTGTGCCTATAAAATTATACATTCTAATGGATACTTTAACTACAAATAAATACTAGAGGTGTAATGAATGTACATTCTAAATTTTTTTACTGAAAAGGAAAACAGGCCCAGCATGGTATATATGGCAGATTAGTAGTTATCTTCTAGATTCATCTCTGACGTTAAATCAAGATTTAAATGAACATTGGCACTAGGTAAAACCTGCTTTCTACTGGTTGAAAGATGATGAGAAATAGAAACACATCAATCTTGGCTGGCAAATGGATGTCCTAAGTTTATGAAATGAGTTGTCTGGCATCTTAGGGTTACCAACCTCTATCTTGACAAATTTGTGAGACAGAAAGAAAATATAAATTTTTTCTTTCAAGTCTCAGAAATCTCACAGTATCTTTGAATCTATTATGCAATGCATTCAATTATTAAAAAAATGTCCTATGCCTTAGGAATTAAGTTTGTATTTCCTAACATCTTGTAGTCCTAAAATTCTATTATTAACCAGGGAATACTCATGAATTCAAGTTTCTAGATACCTCTCTGAGAGGTCTGGATAATTTAGGACAAAGAAAATTCCAGGTGTATACTTTTGAAAAATACTTGGGTATTCATCTTTGAAAATGTTGAGTCACAGTTAACCAAAAGTGTTCATGTATCTTAACCCACTGCCCAATAAAGAAAGATTTTTAACTAAGATAAATTTATTTAATAGTTGAGTGAAATATTTGTAATTGTAAATTATATTAGATTTTATATTATCAAACACAAAATTAAAATAATAGTTTTTCAAACTATTGCTGAAGAATTCAACAGAGAGAATAAAAATACTTCAATCATAGATTTACAGGTTGGAAAGATTCCTCAATATCCTGCTTTCCATCTGGGTACCATAGAAGAAATCACTGGTTGTCTAGGAGTTGAAGGCCCTGATTGAGACGATTCCATTTGATTGTAGGATCCACCACAAAATGGGATTACCATGGAAGCCATATGAATGTTCAGGAAAAAAAAATTAAATTTCCTTTACTTTCTCTGTAAATAAGAACAGAGGAAAATAAGTTATTGAAAGAACATTTTAAATTCCCTGAATATTGCATAAAATGCTTCTTAATGAGAAGGACATGAGCTTGGAGAAGTTTGGAGAAACTCCATCTGGTTCATTGTGCAGGCAGCCAGGCCCCACCCATTGCCCAGCCTTACAGGAGTCTCTTCCCTGATCTGGGTCACTGGACTCTTCCTGCATGCTCAGTCCTGACTCAGTCTTGGGACTGGCACAGGCTCAAAGGAGGAGAGGGTTAGAGATCCAGTAGTTCTCTAGAAGCAGAAGCCAATTTGGGATTGCATGCATAATTCTATGATAGGAAACACTTGTGAGAGAAAATGTGGAGGGCAGGAAAAGGGCTGGTTCAATCTTTAGAATACCAACTCCCTCTGAATGAAGGAGCAGGAAGGGAGACTGGGTGAGGTGACCTAGACTGCACTGTACTGTAAGGAGGATGTGTAGGCTGTCACTAAGTTGAGGAGACAAATGGATCATCAGAGAAGGACCTGCATAGGATTAGACCCAATTGTGATGTATTTCAGAGTTCTGTAGTTAGGTTTCTTACTCAATTATGTTCCCTGTAGCTTGAAGCTACATCATGGAAATTATTATTCAGGATCTGTATTTTGTAATTACATTATATTGGTTATTAGTCTGCCATTATTAAATTAAGGTAAATATTGATTTATACATTTGCAGAATATATAGTAGAGCTGTGCTGAGAGATAAAGTATTCAAATTCTTTTATAAATGAGAACTTCAAGAAAAGATGCAAATGTGTTCCTGTAGCTTTTACAGAGATAGTTGTTTTCTAGGTATGTTATGGGTAGGTCATCAGAAATATGGGTTTTCCAATCATTTTTGATAGTTCATCTCTTTAGAAGAGCTAATTTTTAATCTAATGTTCTTAAATATTTTCACTGCAGAATACACATGTATTATCTCTAAGTCTGGCCATTGGTTCCACAGATTGGCAGGGTTTCTCTGAAGCACAGAAGTATGTGCTCTGTATACACAGCACAGTCTGGCTGTTAAATATAAAGAGAATATAGAATCTATTGTATAGTCATTTTCCAAAATATTTTTTATTCTTCATACAAATGTCACACAAAAAATGGAATAAATATATTCAATATTAAGGTGTTAAAATATACATTGAGGCACATACAACCAAGTTAAACATGTATAAATATTGGTGTATTTTTGTGCATTCAATATTATTTTTAGAAACCATACAATGGATGAGTATATTTTTATAATTGAGCTGTCCCACCCCAACTTCTATTCACATTCAGGTCTAGTCACATCCATTATTTTATATTATAAGGAATTATAAAACTGATTTTTAAATGTTTTATTTTTCTTTTTCAAAAATTTCAGTATGCAAGTATTTATCTACATATGTATTTCTGCATATTTGCGATATATAGTAGTATAGCTACAAGTATGATTTTTTGAATTGGTCATATTGATAATTTATAGAAATAAATAATATTGTGTGTATTCTGCTGAACCTGCTTTAAAAAATTCTTTGTGACCTTTATCTACTTAGATATTTAGTTCTAAAATTCATATTTTTACCTCTCTATAATATTCCATTGCATGAATCTATGGAAATTGTTTAATACGACCTTAAATGTATAATTGGGTGGGTTTTTTCAATCTTCTTTCTTTACTAGGATAAAAAATTTCTACTTTAACATATATTACCCCTAAACTTATATATTATCCCTTAGTGTATATTAGATGATTGGGTATAATGAAGCAATACCCATTATAGAACTTTTGAATAATGAGATATTTGTACCTTTTTATTGTAGGAAGGCTATATTTCTTGACTTTTGTGTACTAACAATTCAGGATTTTGTGATGCTTTTTTTTAGTTTTTACTTTTTGGAGGATCATCCTAGCACACATTTTGTTTAACTAAATTTGCTATTAAAACTTATAATATGAAAAAGTAAAGGCTTACTTTTTTAAACTTCCACATTAATCAATATGAACTTACCTCATTGCAAAGACTTGGAAGTGCAATAGAAATTTCTGCAACCAGCACACAAAAAGAAAAATAAAAAAAATAAGAAGGGGTAAGAAAGCATCACATTGTCTATGGTGAGAAGCACCCACATTTCCTGGTAGCATAAGACTATGCTGATTACTTCCTCAGCACAGTAAGTAGGTGAGGAGGTGAGCTTTGCAGGTAAGGAGGTAAGCATTTGTGGCAGTGCTAAGACAATGTATTCACAGAATGACTTAAAATATGGACTATTTTCAAGTTTTCCAAATTAATATCACTTATGAAAAACAATCTTATATATTATTTATTAATCTTCCTTTGAAGATGCCATAATGGTTTTATTTTTCCATTTTAATACATGACACAATCTAGCAAGAGAAATGAATACCTTGCAGAAAGTCACTTATTATGCCATGTGTAATATGAAATAATATTGACACTAATTAGTATTTAGGTAACTATTAGTAAGCATTAATATGTTGAATCTACTCAATATCTCACAGTTACTTTATTTTGAAACTGATGAGCTAACTTTAAGAAATACAGCTTGTCAATGAAAGGATCAATGGATTCTCTCATTACACAAGGCCTTGGCTTAGAGGACAGAGGTGGAAAATGACAATTGAAATTATCAAGGCTGTCAGATCTAGAAGACCTCATTACTACCCATGCTTTGCATTTAACAACTGTGGAATCTGACCTTCAAAATGGGGGGAAAAGAAAGTAAATATCTGTATTGAAAGCTGAACAACAATCTAAGCTCTATTACCTATTATTTTACTTATTTGTTTATTTTAAGGAGTAAAATCTTGCTGTGTTACCCAAACTATCCTTGAACTCCTAAGCTCAAGGAATCCTCACACCTAAGGTTCCTGAATAACTGAGTCTGTGGGCACACACCACTGCACTTTTCAAAGATGTGAAATCAGAAAAGGCAACTCACTTATGTAATTTTTAGAAAAGCATTTGTAATATGCCTTGTTCATCTCACCAGTTTAAGGTTTATACATGCAATAAAACTAACTTGTCCACTCCTGAATTGCAGTAGCTGCCTTCTGCATTTCTTGCTTCACCCAAGACTGAAAATTTTGCTTACCAGAATAAAAAGGAAATGTCAATGCAATGATGAAAATAAACTTTGATCCATGATAAGAAGAAAGGCATTTTATCAACTCTGTGGAAGAACCCATCAGGAATGCTTGAAACATATTTCCAAAGGAAAGTAATGGTAAAGGTACTACTCCCCCTCCCATAATTACATACTTAATTATAGTGGATTCTTTTTCCTTTTTTCTTCCCCAATTCTCAAGATCAGCACAACATAACATATGAACAGAAGGCCTTCCAGATCCTTGAGAGAAACTCCAAGGATGTCTTTTTTGTACATTTAAGAAAGAGCTGTTTATTCTCCCCATGCTTGGCTGCGTGCACAAGGAGCCTGACTGCATTTGAGAAATTATCTACATTGGTATCTCAAAGCACGAACAGCTATTTCAGGAAGGATGGATTTGGAGAAGTCCTTAGGCTGAAACTGGACTCCAGAATACTCTTCCAGAATCCCTGGTTCACTTACCTGATACAGAGAACATAAAGAAAAGAAGCCAACAGCTCTGAATGCTATGACTCTTTTGTTCCCCTCTCCATCTCAGTCACCTCCACCCAGCTGAGAAGTCTCTCTCATGGATCTGTTGGGTAAAGTGCTTGATGGAGATAAGGCACATGGCCCAGTGCAGATAAGACACAGGTGCATTTTGTGTCCCTGTCCTAGGCTGTAGAGTAACTCATGAGATACATATTTCTCATCATATTCCTCAGCAAGAGGTTTAGGACAATTTGACCTGATGTATTCAGAAGTATGGGGAAGGGAGAGAGAAGGAAATGAGTACTTAGAGATCCCAGGACAAAGAGATATGAAAGTTTTCCAAGCTACTGAGGTGGAAAGAGCAAAAGAATAAAATAAGAAATAGAAAAATGAATTTAGAGAATTATAATGGGACACATGCCTAGATCCTTAATATTCTGCAATAGCAGAAATGCATTAGACTTAATTGGAGATTTGTTTATTTTCTTTTAATGTTTTTATTAGTGCATTATAGTTATAGATAATACTGGGTTTCATTTTGACCCAATCATATGAGCATGTAATATAATTTGCTTCACTTCAGTCCTCAGTACTCCCCCTTTTCCTGCCCCATGTTCCCCTCTTTCTTTAATTTACTTATAATTTTTTATAGTCGTGCTTCAAAGACAGACTTCCAGGTGAAATTCACTGTGACATATTCATATGCATACATAACTTCATCGATTTCATTGCACTGTTTCTTTTCCTGACCCTTCTCTCTCTTCATTAATCTACTTTCTTTGCTTCACTGATCTCTCTTCTATTTTCATGGGATTCCCTACTCACCCCACCTGCCCCACTTTTTTCCCCTTTGTTTTGATCTGTAGTATAACTTTCTGTGCATAAGAGAGAAAATATTTGATCCTTGTCACAGTCTGGCTTATTTCTCTTAGCATTATGTTCTCCACTTTCATTGATTTACTAGCAAATATCATAATTATTTTTGTTTATAGCTGACCAAAACTACACTGTGTGTGTATACCACATTTTCTTAATCATTCATTCATTCGTGGTCACATGGGCTGGTTCCATAACTTAGCTACTGGGAATTGTACTGCTAAAAACATTCATGTGCCTATATCATAACAGTATGCTGATTTTAGTTCTTTTGGATAAATACCAAGGAGTAGAATAGTTGAGTCATGTGGTGATACCATTCCTAGTCTTTTGAGGAAACTCCATATTGCTTTTCAGAGTGGTTGTACTAATTTGCAATGCCACCAAAGAGGTAGAAATGAAGATTTCCCCCTACATCCTCACCAGCATTTATTATTATTTGTATTCTTGATAGTTGCCATTCTAAGTGCAGTGAGATGAAATATTATTTATTTATTTATTTAAATTAGATA